TGATAATCCCTGGTAATCTTTGCTTGCTACAAGGTCTTTGGGCCCAGTGTCGTGATTTATAATTAGCTGGAAAAAAAAATACAAAAGTAGACAGAAAAGAGAAGCTGGTCCAGTGATTGAGACTAGCTCTTTCTAAGGGGCCCAACTGACTAGGTTTATCCTTCCCTATCCACCTGAAGACGGAGACAGATGCAGTCTCCGAAACGTCTCGGGTTTTTGTCTTTTATATACCAGACGATGGGTGAAATCCAAAATAAGCCAAAAGAAGTACTCCATGGCCTGTTACAGGGATAACAGCCGGATAACGAACCATGGGGCCTTTTCTGCGACCTTAGCATTGTAAAGAACGCCTCTCCTCCTCTGATGTGATATCCACTAGGGAAAGGAGTGCGGTTATGTCAAATATGTAATAACTTTCTCGTTCAAGAGATTTTATGAATGTCATCACATAATCTATCAAACAAATCNTCGATCAAACAAGTTCTTAAAACTTGTTCTAGTTTTAAATTTCCTTTCCAGCCTTCCCCTTGATGCAGCACCCCGAATATACGGAAGTTCTATTAAAATGTCTATATTTTCAAATTTCAGTGTTGTGCGTGGTCCATATTAGGAACCCGTACATTCTTAATGTAAGCTACAGACGTGTGTCTTGTGACAGATATATCGACCGCCTCTGTGTTCTAGTGGTCACAGTTGCTGGCTACAGATCCAGAGGTCGCGGGTCCGATTCCCGGCGCTACCGGTTTCTCTGAGAAGTAGTGGGTTCGGAACGGGGTTCATCCAGCCTCGTGAAGATAATTGAGGAGCTACTTGAATGGAAAAGTAGGGGCTCCGGTATAGAAAACCGAGATTAACTGCCGTGGGGAATCGTTGCGCTGATCACGCGACACTCTCTATCCGCTAAAGTTGGCAATAACTTCAGCGACAAGCAGGGGTCGCTCGATGGGTATAGTTCGCTTGCGGACTAAAGCAACGGAGTCTGTTTTTGTTTGACAGATATATCTGTGCACAGTTGCAATTTCGCCAATGCTATGTAGTTCTGATAGTGAGAACCTTGTTAAATAACAAAAGGAATGAAAGGAACTAGTCGTATTTGCAGCTATGCATTTCTTAAATAATTAATGATAAAAATATTATCTCTAGGAATGAGGCAGATACAAACCTCCCGAAAGCACCACGTAGGTCTCGAGCTGTTGTTTAATTAACTTTGTAACATACAATAGTATGTTACGCTGATAGTCTGTGACATTTTCAGAAATAAATTAATTTCTTTAAGTTAGGATAGCACAATCCTAAATATGACTTACTTCCTAACGTGGGCTCTGCCCCATATTAGAAATTCGCAGGTCGCTCCATGTAGTCAGATACGTGGAAGTATAAAAGTACGGCCATTTTGTAATAAGCATCATGAATCTTCAAGTAGGAAGAGACATTTTAATTACATTACGTGAACAGAGTACATTCATAAATACAAGCATCGATATGCATTATATTCAATTGATTGCATTGATTTTAAGCCACACTAGGCAATATTTCAAAACGTACATTTCACAAAACTGTTGCCAATACTGATAAATGACTTTATGTCTTGTCCGTTAACTAAACAAATGTTAAGTAACATAAATTAGATTCGAGAAATTTGAGGCATGGGTTCCGGGGGGAATATACTGACCTAAAAAAGGGTGAGGAACAGGGGTCTGAATAAAACTGCGTAACAAGGAGCTTCACAAATTATACCCATCAGAAAATGTTAGGGAGCTCAAATAGACTAACATAAGTTGGGCTGCATTCACGTATGTAGCAAGCAGAGGAACGAAAGAAATATTAAAAGAATATTAATCGAGGAACCTGAAGGTAACAGACAAATCGAGAGACCTAGATGTAGGTGGGAGGAAAATGTTAAAATTAATCTTACAGAAGCTGGATTTAGAACATGGGATACATTTATCTGGCTGGTGTTAGATTTCAGTGAAGCGCTCTTCTGAAGAGGACAATATATATTCCCGTTCCTTAAAAAACTGTAAATTTTTTATCAACTTTACCTGCTCCATGGATTTCTTATTTCATAATTTAAGTAATACTATCTATTATTTCCATCGAGTTAAATAACAGTACCTTGCATAGCATCAATGTTCCATCTGACCAAGTAGTAAGTGTACAAGTATCGCTGTTAATTTGACGTAACACTTCCTACTCATTTAGATATACAAAACTGGTATTCATCAATTTTTGTGTCTTCTCATATGGTTACATTTGTTTTCATCCGTTCCTCTTGTACCCTCATACGGGTGTCGAGTTTTCCTTATATTCTTTCAATCATTACACAGACGGTATGACTTCTTGGACCAGTGACTGGCCCGTCGCAAGGCCGCTACCTAAACACAGGACAACACAAACACAAGAAAACGCATACACACACCAAACATCCATGCCCTGAGTGGGATTCGAACTCACGATCACGGCTTCCGAACGAGCGAAGGCAGTTCATGCCTTAGACCGCTCAGCTACCGTGACCGGCGTATGGCTACATTCCAAGTAAAACTGTTCGTTTATCTCGTCAGTTCAAAAAGAAGACTTGTAGGATGATATGAGCAGCAGAAGGCACGGAACCAGTTCTGTAAAAACATAACTTCAGTTGCTATGCAAGAGAACAATTAAGAGTTAATAACAACTACTTCCATTTCTCTTCATTTATCTCAGCCGAAGTTACTTCATGTGCAGGATTGTAATTCTCAGTGTAATGTTATTGATGCGATCCATTCTCGGTTTTAAATTCCGTTGAGGTTGGTGATGTAGCTAGATTCATAAGTCAGATAAACTCTTCTAGACAGGCCGTTGTAAAGTCTAAATACATGAAAATTGTACTTATATTTTGTTACGGGCGTTCATTTTTCTTCTCTTTGATTCGTGCGCTAAAATCCTCGCACATAAATAAGAATTGATATGAACTGAATTAGCAATTTGCGTCATGTTCATAATCGCAAGAAATAGACTGGATCATATGAACATACTGTCACCATATAGACACACTACCTCATGCGCTGATCTGCCTTGATCGGTCATATATTCACAGTACATAAATGTGACACTTACAATACAAGTTTTTAGGCAGGAAAGACAGTGTAATAGGAAAGAATGACTTATGAGTTCGGCCCAAAACTCTTTGTATATATTTCATTACGGAAAATTGACATTATCAATAGAGAGACTCATTAAATCTCATAAAATGAGGGAGGAACAAAAGTTTTCGTCATTATTGAAATAATCCTTTGTTTCTATTATTTCGTAATTTTTTGCAGCAGCTATGTTTTTTTTTTTAATTCGCTTAGTGGAAGGTGGAGTCCAGTTTGGTCCACTCGGCACGGCGGACACTGATTGGCCTATTGTAGCCTGGCCCGAGTGATTATGATCATGGAAAATTTGGTGGAATGAAATTGGCAGGGAAAATCGAAGTACTAGGAGAAAACCTACCCTAGCGCCAGTTTGTCCACCACAAATCCCACATGACCAGACCCGGGTTTGAATCCGGGCCGCTGCGATGAGAAGCCAGCGAATAACCGCTTGAACTATGGCGCGGCCTCAGCATGTATGTTAGTATTGAGAGTGTGCTGCCTATCGGGCTGAGTGTAGAAGCTAATGATACGCTGTTTTGAATAAGGTAATGAACATTTGGTTCCTTGAAAGACAGGAATTCTTGCCCACCTCCAAGATAAACTCTGCTCCAGGAAATTAGTTAATTCAGAAACAAAGAGAAAGTGACTTCCTGTGATATATCTTTCAAATGGGATTTCTTGAAAATTTTCACCTCCTACAGAAACTGTTGTGGAAGGCAATTGGACAATCACAAACGCGCACACTCACACTAGTCCGTGAACATATTAATGTAAGGATCCCTTAATTCATAAAATAAAATGCTGTGTCGTACATAATTTGAAATGTTTATTTACAACAGTGACATAAATAGTGCAATATGAATAAAGCATCTAATGATTATATGAAAGATGAGGCATTATTTACAATATCTGTAACAGAGGTAGTATGAAGCATGTTATGATTCATTAGTGGTACAGTGTAGTGACAAAATTTGTAAATTGTAGTCAAATAAGTGACATGATAAAAGCGTATATAAGTTGTTTCTTGGACTGTCAAATGAAGTTATTCCTTCAAATGTTTTTGCTACGAAAGAACAGTTCTGTAGGTTTATAATTCTGCAATACGATTAATCAGTTAAGCTTTACATTTGAAGAGGTATTGGGAAGTTGAGGTATGATTGCAAGCTTTCCTAATAAAATGAACTCGAGTGACGAGCTTCAATCTGGCGCTTTATATCCACTAAATAGGAAGCTCAGTGTGTCCAGTGCCACTTGGATGCAGTAGTGAAGAGGAAAAATATCATCGCTAGGATATCAAATCCTGATTTCCCAGCCACTTTAGTGACTAAGCTACCGGAGCTCATTTCTATGTTGAGAGTTGTGCTACACATGAACGGGAACCCTCCCGGTACTTTCGTGTAGAGAAGGTGCGAGGAAAATAATGAATTTCTATAGAAAACGAGAATGAGATTATCACTCAGAACTCACAGAAAACGAAGAATGCTGTCTTCTGGGATGTGGCACCATGTAGATATTTTGTTAACCGACGTTTCGGACGAACGTATCGCCTTCATCTTCAGGGTATAAGAAATCTACAGATACGTGCTCACTCTGGTTAATCGTTCGCGAATTTATTATACCTTGAAGATGGAGGCGATACGTTCCTCCGAAACATCGGTTAACAAAATATCTACACTGCGCCACATCCAGAAGACGTCATTCTTCATAGTCACCTCCGTGAAAACCTGAAATCTTGCACAGAGAAAATGATTTTAAGACGACAGTCCGAGAAACGTGTATCCTCATATCGATGTCTGATGACGTGAACAACATGTCGAGGCATGCGCCTTACTGCTAGTGACCATATCCCTCTGAGCCGTCTCCGAAACTCAAACTACTGTAACTTACAGCATTCCCTTCAGACTGAGATGAATGTTCGTTAGAGTAAGTTTGAGCAGGTCCCTTATAAACAGATGCTGCCTGAGTGTAACTATGCTGAAGAGCTGGCTCATATGACAGGTACTTGACAGGGTAAACTACTTTCTTCACGGGGTAGATTACTTTCTTGATAGGGGCGATAACTTTCTTGACGGGCACAGGGTGACTAGCGTGTCCGGACTTTTCGACTTGAGCAATGAAGCCGGTGTGCTTGTCCGAAGAGTATTTGACAATTCGGGTTGTGCCGTCGGGCTCCAGCAGGCTGTAGTAGCCCTCGACCTTGTCACCTACACGTTTCTCTGCCTGCTCCTTGATGTCGTGTGTGTGTTGGTCCTTCACACCGTACTTGAACTCGTAGTGGGCTGGTTCCTGCGGCACAAGACAAAGGATTTTGGACTGCGGTCTAGACCGTTGAGTCAGTGAGTGAGCTAATGGCAATGAGTAAGAGCAAGCAGTCACTCCCCAAGAGAGGCCAGTGACCACTAACAGTAGGATCCCTCCTCTTGTCGAAGAGGTAACACGTAAAATTTTGGAATGAACAAATATATAGTCATGGGTCCTGACGGGGTCCGAAATCAAGAACTACTGTGCTGGCGAGGGCAAGTAGCAATTTATACTGGACTTTAATGGACAAGACCGTGGTGTGCAGGCCCAGATCCTGAGTAGATTGCCTGAAAGTATTTATTGATACGGGAACCAGTATTTCTGAAAACATTTTTTTTATCTAATCTTACAGAATGTAACTTCTGCTAATTTATTTTTAAAATGTACAGGATTATCGAAGCAACATGAAAACGAAAATTTCTATTTTCCGGTATATAACGCTTTGTAGTCATTTGAAATTTAACCGAAAATTTCGGAACAGCGTGACGCCTCTATCTTCCAGGTTCACTATTAAGTCAAAACAAACCAGTCAGAAGCAATTAGCAGGCAGAACTTGTTCATTATTGGCTTGTTTTTCGAAACCGAAGATAAAGGCGAAATGTTCCTCTCAAACTTCGGTTGACATCGGACTACGCAGCGTTATGTCCCAGAAGGAAGAACTCCTCATGACCACCGCTGTGAGAACTTTTGCGTGGATCGTCGGTGTCGACATGTGGAACAGATGTGATCCAGAACAAAAGGAATTATATCAGTAAAGTTGATGTTACCTTATTCTAAGAAAAAAACTGTATACAGGTACTAAATTTATTATAAACACTGAAACGAGGCCTAGAAAAACACAGGAGTAATAAATTTAAACTTAGAACAAGGGTTTCCCTTGGCGCTGTCCTTCTTTAGCACATATATAAATGAAATCATTGATAAATGGCAGAGAAATAGAATTAAACGAATACAAATTAAAGGACTGGCCTTAAGTACAATTTTAGTTTAAGCGATCAGGTGAGTGTGTTGACTCAGAAGATCGCTTATTTGTAGCTACTAACGCAGATGAAGAAGCCCCGAATGCAAAATTTTCAATACTCTAGGACAAATTCTTCTCATGTAGTAAGTAAAGAATTATCTTGGAGGGTTAAAATTGTTAGTGGTTACTTAAATAAAAAAATTGGTGTTGAAATGTAAAAATTCTCCCTAAAAGATACTGTATCATCACCCCAATTTTGGTCCGAACAGGTGAAATAATTTTGAAATGTACAAAGAACAAATAAATAAACAGAAACATACTTTTCGAGACAATCTTGCTCTCTTTGTGTCTGTGTGTCTGTCTTTTATCCACCTAAGCCTGAAAATCTGAATAGTTAAGCCAAAGAAACGGCAGGTGTTAGGAAACGGCTTTGTAAAAATTTCCGCTCTAGCAAATAAACTTGCAAACATATTTGACGCTGTTTTCCAGGCGACCCGTATTGTATACAGTTCTCAGCATGTAATGAAATGACAATAGGCTTCGTGTAGAACTTCTTTTTATTTACAAGCCTACTGCAGTCGTGGCAAAGACAGGTCGGACACATGTTTAGCCTGCCAACACGCCATAGCGTACAAGTGAATCACTAATTATGAATAAAATTGTACTATGATTGCGGAGGAAAGAAATCGAGGACGAAGAGTCTGGTCAGGTTGATGATCTCAACATATGAGCATATGAATTCCTTCAGGTATATTGCTCTATGTATTATGAAGGACAGTGTAATTATTGGTTTATATACTCACGTAGTGGTGTTCTTCTATCACCTGATGCTGCTCATACACTGGCACGGCTAATGCAGACAGTGCTAACATGGCGACCAGACTCACGACCTGACAGCGGAAGCATAAACTGACATTAATCATAACTTTTGTATTTTCTTCTCCTAATAACATACTATCTCTTCTGGCGTTATTTCTGTCCGAATTTGGATATGAATTATTAACGTTATATTTTAGCGTCCTGTTGCACTGATTTAAGTCCATGATTTATTTAAACCGTCTTGCAGTGCATACACTCATTTATCTCCTTCTCTCCCTCGCACTACATGTTTCGGCGCAATAATGCCATCTTCAGGTGCTTACCTATCCACGCCAAACTAGTTCATTGCATGCCTTGTTCTCATATTAANACACACACAAGATAGTGAAGGAGTGCTCCAACAGAGGAGAATGGGCGTGACTGACGTAGTGAGGTGCGACGTAGCGATGTGGTATCCTGAACAATTTTAATATTTTTAACGTTTGACAATGTATATGATAGATACATATTTTAGTTATTTTAATATGAGAACAAGGCATGCAATGAACTAGTTTGGCGTGGATAGGTAAGCACCTGAAGATGGCATTATTGTGCCGAAACATGTAGTGCGAGGGAGAGAAGGAGATAAATGAGTGTATGCACTGCAAGACGGTTTAAATAAATCATGAATTATTAACGGTAATAAAACATATACACGTATTTACCGCATTATACCCTGTCAACAGATGTTTTAATGGGCACCACACCAGAGACGAGATGTTGGGGAGTAGAAATGTGTTTTCAGTCTTTTCTATTCTTCAGTACCAGACGGACGCCAGTAGTTAGATGCATGCCCATTTTACACCCGAGGAAAGAGCCTCTGGTGTTCATACTCCAGGATACTTGATGGCCATGGTTAGATGAATATCCCGAAAAGTCTTACTCCCTAGTCAGGAGTTCCTGTCGTCCATTTGGCAAGAGGCTGGCAGGTCCTTGAACCGGTCTTGACAGAGTAGCTGATAGGAAAATCTTCGCCGCAAGGAACCAAACTCCGTTTCTTCGGTCAAGACCATACCCTAGTCACTACATTAAGTAAACTACCCAGATCACCATGACCTAAGAAATTCAGTTCATATTTTGCGAGAGAGTTTTTTCTTGATTATCACATTGTAAACTAATGACCATGACCACTATGTCACTAAGGAATGGAGCGAAGAGGATGGTGTGGTGGTAAGGACTTAAGCCTGTATTCGGGAGATATGTATTTAGAATTGCACGGGATATCAGTTATTCTGAATAGTTTCTTGGACCATACTTAGTAACCAAGTCAGGTTGCTTCCTTACGCCTCTTTAACTACTTGTACTTATAATTCACGGTGAACCGAAAGTCGCAGTCGAATGTTGGCATTCCTGTTTCGTATTTGGCAACTGCCGGATTCAGACATCAGCCGTACTGAGTGCAGTATTTCACGAGATTCCCTAGTTCCAGGAAATCGCTGGGATTGTGTTTTATAATGGACTACGAATGCTCTGTGCTCTTTCTTAATTTACTCCTATCATTAAATAATCCTTGTGGTCTATCACTGGTAAGTCACGTAATTTAGAAAGTCCCTTTAAGTACAAAATATTTTTATCTCCATTCCTCTCCAGTTTATCTAACAGTCTTGTAGTAGAAACCAAAAGTTGAGAGTAGCTGATACCAAAGACAGCCAGTGGCTGCGATGTTGAGCCAGCCCCGCTCACCTCCAATATCATACGACGGCACTCTTAGAACCATACAGAGTTTATGTTACCATAACCCTCTCGGTCCTCAAATTAATTGTAATTCGAGAACATTTTCTATGAAATTTCTATTTCATTTCATATCTCGCCTTCCTAGCCCCACGCCTTGCAAATCCTAAGGTTAAAATCTCGAAGTTCCTAGTTATGCCGAACTAATATCCTAAATTGTTAATTCATTTCATTCCTCTCAGGTCCAAATATTTTCATGGCCAATTTATTTTTAAATATTCGTAATTTGTATTATTTTGTTCCAGTTGCTGTACAGATCGTCATTTAAAATTATTTAACCATAAATGACCTCTGCGGCTGGTAAAGGTTAGTTCAATTATCTATTCCATAACTGACATAATATCAATAACAGTAGCCGTGAAATTTTCTCTTACCTTAAAAAGAGCCATTTTCATCACGTCAGTAGATCTTTAATATTTCCTTAATGTTCCTATGATACTGATATTTCGAAGTGTATCGAGCTTCTGGTTGAAGGGTCTGTACTCTTTAAGTCTTTATATACATGGACCAATCACATGAAGTGTAAGAGGTGGAAACTAAGAGTCCCTGCGGCTCCTTGGTAACTTGCACTTTTTTGTGCCCACTTTACAACGACCTTCCTTTTTTGATCCTGCAGCAAAGTAACATATCACCCTCACTTATCCCAGACCCTTCCGGCAAATTCCATTCTCATACTCCCCTCCCTTTCAGAACAAATCAATTACACTACATTCACATATCCAGCAGCAGCTTGGAGTAATTAATTTCGCACATCACTGACGGCTTTGCTAATTTATGGCAATAAACTCGTTTAGGATGTTGTTTGAATTGTCAACTTCTTTTTAGTATTAAAAATCTGTCCACCTGTACACAGAACTCACGTTCACGTGACGTAAGGTTAGGTCTAGGACAGTTCCATCATTTTTTGTATATGTCTGTACTTTCCCTTTCTTTTAAGTGGGGCGGGGCAGATGACTCGAGGCGTATGTCTTTTTATTTACTGGTTAACCATTCAAATATTTCACTTAGATTACATAATATTTGGGTACCATTCGACTTTTGCATAGATATGTTTTCCGTTTTGACACCTCTCCATATATGCGCGTAAAACAAGCACAGCCAGCTCATACGATACATTACACTTTTCCCCCCTGCAGTTTCGTGTTACGAACAAGAGATCTATTACGTTACGTAAATTGAAAAGTTTCGTAACGAGTTTATTTGAGTTGTCATAGCGGTGACTGTGAAGAGTTCGGTCTCTTAAGATGTAACACCGTATAGTCCGGTAAAAGTCAACCGAGGTTCGGAGGAACATATTTCCTCCATCTTCAAGTCAGCAGGAAAAGTACGCGGCTTGCTATGCTAGCCGCCTTCATCTTGATGGTTTCTTGCTTTGTTTAGTTTTCAACCTTGAAGACGATGGTTATATGTTCCTCCGAAACTTCTATTGACTTTTACCGGACTACATGTCCTTACATTTCAGAAGACAAAAACTTTAGTTTCGTCAGTATCAGAGTTATTGAATTCCCACTATCCGAGTACAGTGAGCAGGGTCTAAGACGTAGAGTGATAGGTCGCTCAGACACTGTGATAGAGAATTCAAATCTCGACATGAATTTATGTGTTACGTCTCCCTGTGTAGGTAAAGGTTCTGCCAATAGTTGCCACACTTCCTAACGAATTCTACGAAGGAGGCGAATAAGGTGAACTGTATCAGAACCTGCCAGAAGGAAAGAGACCACTGGGAAAACCAAGACGTAGATGGGTGAAGAATATGAAAATTGATCTTAGAGAGATACGATGGGATGGGTTGGATTGGATTGATCTGGCTCAGGATAGGGACCAGTGGAAGGCTCTTATGAAAACGGTAATGAACCTTCATGTTCCATAAAACACTGAAAAATTCTTGAGTAGCTGCAGATTTGCTTCTCCTCAAGAAGGGCTCAGCCCCATTAGTATGTAAGTATCAGAACATGGGCACAATCCGTGAACGCTGAAGGAGGAGGCGAATGTGAAAGAGAATTCCTCAGAAATGAAACATAAAGTAAATAGCGCTGATTCTGTGACGTCATTTAGTTACTGTTTCAACGTTTCGTGTCTGGGAGATCTCATGTGTCTGTGAAAGAACTTGTAAATAGAAAATTGACTTTCAGTTCTGTAGAAGTTAGGGACTGATATAAAATACTTGACGTAAGAAGGGACTTGTAGATTGATTAATTCGCCTAAGAAAATATTGTGACATGGATGGGGCAACGGGAAGTGGGGGGCGCGTGAACTCTGTGGTCTCGCGAGTGACGTCACATACCCAACTCCTTCCACCAGTACGCAACTCTCGGTAAACACCCCCCCACTCCGGGGGTGACGTGGCAGAGGAGCGGCTGCGCGTTGGCAACCATTGCCGTGGTGACGTAACAAGGAATACAGTGGTTACTACCCAGCCGTAAACAACTCCCGACAGCGTTGCTAGCAACAATTGTAAACACGGCGTCAGGCAACAGTGGTACATATCACGTAACTGTTTTCTGTGTTGTCCGTGCCGATGCTAAATAAGGAGCAGCGAACACTATCCAGTCAGTAGGGAGTGATTAGTTAGCGAGCCGTGTTGTATCGATTGCATGGCAGTAACAACAGGAGAAATATTTGTGATGCTGCCGATGGCAGTAATTATGCAATTGTAAATCGTGTGATTGTAAGAGCGTGTGGAATAAATATCAAATAAAGAGTGAAGTTACTTGTCGCGTGACATATACCCAACACGTGACAAATTGTACTAAATATGTATTTGAACAATTCTCTAAAACTACGGAAAGTACGCTGTTAGGATAGAGTCACCTTACTAAGATCTACCTTTGTTTCTAAGTGAACTCTGCATCTACGATATGTTAAAATTTAAAGGCACATAATGCCACAATAATCTCAAGTAGCATAACTTCGCATAACCCAAATTAACCTAACAGCCTAAAAGTTATCCTTCCGCTTGATGAATTAAACACCACGCCATGAACAGTTACGAGGGAGATGAGGTATAGCTCCACCATTCTTGGTCTCGGCGCTAGATGGAAGTGAGTTCCCATGTTTACTCTCAGTCCACCCTTCCCTCGGAGCTAGAGCACCCGGTACCATTGGCAAGGAAGCTGGGTGAAACCGAACAGCCGGCCTGGACACTGTGGAGGAGGGAAAATATTCTTGCCTCTGCTGGGAATCAGCAGTTTATCTTTATACCTACTGAGCTGTTCCGAATCTTCTGATTTAAGATGCTATTTACGCTTAATTACAAAATCTAAGCTAACTTAATCTCGGGGGAACGCAGTAGAATAGTTGGTAGACTCACTATTCCATAAACCGGAAGGTCGCGGATTCGATTCCAGATGATGTCATTGGATTTTTCATTCGACCTAATCCTTCCAGCCGCATTATGGCCCTAAAGTCGACTCAGCCTCTAACAGAAATGAGTACCAGGATCTTCCTGGGGGGTAAAGGGCGGCCGGCACATAAGGCTGACGACCTCACCGCCATCTGTGAGTCAGATGTCTAGAAAATTTGGAAACCTCGACGCTCACAACTCCATGGAACTTCGAGGCCTGGTACTCAGATAATTTTACACTTTGCCTTAACTTCTCACCGTAACCTTATCTAAACTTAGGTTAAGTAATTAATTTCAAAGAAAGCACACCAAAATTGAGCAGCATATGCGGACAACAGAATCCTGCACATGAGTTACAGCATGAGAAAAGTAAAAAATGATAAAGCCAGATCAACGACGCCATTGCTGATGCTGACGCGTCGGAATTGAGGAATATTTAACGAATAGAAATAATCGTAGGATGGGGAACTATCAGGAATAGAGAACTATCCAAAGCAGAAGCCTCCATCGTCGTTAGCTCCGATGATGATAAAGCAATGAGAGTATGACAGAAAAAATTCTAATATTCTTCGGGCAGAATCGCATGGGACTAGAGCATATAGACTGAGCCCTCCTTGAGGAGCCGCCAAGTCTACAGCTACTCAAGAATTTCCCTACATTTTATGGAACCCAAAGGTTCATTACCGTGTCCACAAAAACCCTCCAATGGTCCCTATCTTTAGCCAGATCAATTCAATCAATACGATCCAATCCTATATCTCTAACAACCATTTTAATATTCTCTGCCACATATTTTTTGGTCTTTCCAGTGGTCTCTTTCCTTCTGTCTTTCACACCAATATCCTATATGCATTGCTCTTCTCATCCATTCGTGCTACATGCCCTGCCCAATCTTCCTTCTTGACTTGATCATTCTAATTATACTTGGAGAAAAGTACAATTTATGAAGCTCCTCATTATGCAGTTTTCTCCAACCTCCTATCACTTCAGCCCTCTTTGGTCCAAATATTCTCAACACCCTGTTCTCAAACACCCTCAGTCTATGTTCCTCCCTTAATATCAGAGACCAAGTTTCACACTCATATGTCTAATCAAGCTTACAGGCACATAATCCTACACTAATCTGAAGCAAATTATTTTAGCCTAAGTGAAACTACGGAATCCACAGAAACTTATGTCCACCATACCATCCGTTGCCAGCAATGGACGTCCTTTTGTTGCACCAGTACGTTTCCGGGAGAATTTGTTTGCCAAGTCGTTGTCTAACTGTGAGTCTATAGGTCTATGCATGGGCTGAGAGGCTTTGCTTCTGTTCAATATAAACTGACATACTCATGATACAAAGCAACTTAAGTTTAAGAGAAAAATAAAGGTAAAGGTAAAGGTATCGCTGTAACAGACCGTAGTCTGTGAGACGTCGAGGCTCCCACATTTTCTCTAGACATTCGGCCCACAGATGGCGGCAAAGTTGTCAGCCTTACGCGCCGGCCGCTCTTTATCCCCCAGGATGATTTATGGTACTCATTTCTATTAGAGACTGAGTCGACCCCAGGGTCACAATACGGCTGGAAGAAGTATGTCGATTGAAAAATCCAATGACCTCATCGGGAATCAAACCCACAATCTTCCGGCTTGTAGCATAGTGCCTCAACCAACTATGCTACTGCGTGTGTACTCGTAAATTTCGTTCATAATTCGGTAAGAGCTTTAAATAAAATACAGGATTAGGTGAAAAGATTTTATTTAATTATGAAGTACAATTCTTAAGTAATAGTGTAAAACAGCAGTAAAATAAAGAAATATTTATTCTAATTTTGGATGTGTAAAGCACCAACTGGTTATCTCAATTCCAGACAGACATAGAAGATGCTTGAACTCCAGGCTGATTCACTATGAATTAGTAAATATTCTGAATGTGTTTTATGGTTCATATACTTG